GTTTACTTAGGTATACAAAACTGGAAATAGGCTAAGTAAACATGTATAATATCTAACCAAATAAATAAGAAACGTAGAAAGCTTGGAGGCACGGCATACACCTTGATGTCAAATAAAATAAATAAATGACACAAAGTTTAAATAAAGTAAAAATCAGCAAACAATGTGGAACCAATTTAAATAAGAAACGAATGTTTAAAAAAACTTCCAAAATCACCTTAGATAAACGGCAAAAGTCAACAGGCTTTTCAAAATCCAAAATATTGCCAAACAGGCGCTTTTGCATTTCGTTTCGAAACTAAATCATACGCAAGACTAAATCGTCTTGTCTGTCTCACCTCACTCTTCTTGTCAGTCAGCTCGACTCACTCTCCTCACTGGATAAGTGAAATCTGATCTGTGATGTGACTGTCGTTCAGCACGCTACATTGAGCAGCCGCGTTCACTTTTTAATTGTAGTGTCTGTTCTTTTACTGAACTAAATAGTTTTTATTACTATAAAAATATCAAAACTACGGTGGGGGTCGGTGCCGCGGTGGGCAAGTGACGTAACCGGTGTTGCGGCTTAAACACCGGTATCACCGTCAGCACCTTCTATCGCGGCAAGCCTACTAACTGATAGAAAAAAGTGAAGTACTAAAATTACTAAAACAAAAACTGCAATAAAAATGAAAGGTAAATAGAAATATTTAACAAGTCTAAAAATTAGAAAAGTACATAAAATTACAAAAAAGTAAACAAAATAAAACCTGAAAATATAAAGCTTTTTATTAATAATACTCTGACCAATGAATGATACATAGGCATCATCTGACTAAACTTGCAAAAATATCAATGTACTGCCAACAAAGTTTGGGGTCAAGTAAGATTTTTTTTTTTTTTTAAAGAAATTAATACTTTTATTCAGCGGGATGCATTAAATTGATCAAAAGTGACAATTAAAATGTTACAAAAGATTTCTATTTTAAAATACATGCTGTTCTTTTGAACTTTCTATTCATCAAAGAAAAAAATGTATCACGGTTTCCACAAAAATATGAAGCAGTACAACTGTTTTCAATAATCAGAAATGTTACTTTAGCAGCAAATCAGCATATTAGAATGATTTCTGAAGGATCATGTGACACTGAAGACTGGAGTAATGATGCTGAAAATTCAGCAATAAATTACATTTTAAAATATTATCAAATAGAAAACAGCTATTATAAATTGTAATAATATTTCAGAATATTAATGTTTTATTGTATTTTTGATCAAATAAATGCAGTTTTGGTGAGCAGAAGAGACTTCTTTCAAAATAATTTTAAAATGTCCTTACCGACCCCAAACTTGTAGAATTTAATATTCATTTAATGTTCTAAATAACGTTATGAAGAAGGTAATATTCACCAGAATGGTCAAATGGCACTAATGAACCCATCTCACCTGAGCACCTGTTGGCTGAACGTGTCTTTCTGCTCGTTAGAGACCCGTGAGGATGGGAAGCCCGGTGAACGCAGAGCTTCTTTGAGCCACACTGTCAGCAGAGCGAAGCAATGCTTGTTCAGACAGAAGAGCACCTCCGCAAACTGATCCATCACACTGCGGGACGACTGACCGCCGATGGCCTGCCGAAAGAACAGAGCAGTCAGACTTTTGTGCTTTTTTTTGTTTTACAACATTCAACAACCTTCATGTATTGTAGAAGCTCACCTCCAGTACAGCCAGCAGGAGGAGTTTACCATTTTCCTGCACGACCTGACCAACAGGAGGAATGTCTGCGCAGCGCGGTATTAGCTCCGTCTGCAGTCAATGCAAATAAACAATTCAACAATGCTCATGGCTACGGTTTATGAAAGTATATTTAACAGGAGGTAAAGAGACACAAACTGAAGGTCAATTCACAGAGCACTAAATCTTCCATCAAAACAATACAAAGGTTTGGAATTAAGTTTTTTTTTAAAGAAGTCTCTAGCTCACCAAGGCTGCATTTATTTGATCAAAAATACTGTAAAAACAGTAATATTATTAAATATTATTACAATTTAAAAATTGAATTGTATATTTGATTGAATATATTTTAAAATGTGATTTATTTCTGTGATCAAAGCAGAATTTTCAGCATCATTACACCAGTCTTCAGTGTCACATGATCCTTCAGAAATCATTCTGATATACTGATTTGCTGCTCAAGAAACATTTCTGATTATTATCAATGTTAAAAACAGTTGTGATGCTTAATAGTTTTGTGGAAACCTTGTTAACACAATAGAAATCTGAAAAAATCTTATTTATGCACTAAATGATCTGAAAAAGATGCATCATGGTTTCCACAAAAATATGAAGCAGCGAAAAACTTGATAGTAGCTTAGCAGCAAATCAGTATATTAAAATGATTTCTGAAGGATCATGTGACACTGAAGACTGGAGTAATGATGCTGAAAATTCAGCTTTGATCACAGGAATGAATTACATTTTTAAAATGTATTCAAACAGAAAGCTGTTCATTTAAACTGTAATAATATTTGGCAATATTACTGTTTGTACTGTATTTTTAATCAAATAAATGCAGCCTTGGTGAGCATAAAAGACATTGATCAAAAGCGACAGTAAAGACATTTATAATGTCTTTAAAAAAAATTCTATTTTAAATAAACGCTGTTCTTTCGAATTTTGTATTTTTAAAAAAATGTATCACGGTTTCCACAAAAAACTAAAGCAGCTGTTTTCAACACTGATAATAATAAGAAATATTTCTTAAGCAGCAAAAAGGCATATTAGAGTGATTTCTGAAGGATCATGGGACACTGAAGACTGGAGTAATGATGCTGAAAATTCAGCTGTGCATCACTGGAATAAATTGTGGTTTAAAATATATTCAAATAGAAACCATTAGATTCTAATAATATTTTACAATATTACTGTTTTACTGTAGTTTTGATCAAACAAAAGCGGTTTACTGTAGGTTTAATCAAATAAAATGATCAAATGAAAAAAAAAATATATATATATTTAGTGCTGTCAAATGATTAATCGCGATTAATCGCATCCAAAATAAAAGTTTTTGTTTACATAATATATGTGTGCATACTACATATTTATTATGTATATACAAATACAAACACATGCATGTATATATTTAAGAAAAATATGTTATGTTGATATATTAAATATATTTATGTATAATATAAGAATATAAATATATATATACATGTAAATATTTTCAATAAATATATACTGTGTGTGTATTTATATATACATAATAAATATACACAGTACACATACATATATTATGTAAACAAAAACTTTTATTTTGGATGCGATTAATCACGATTAATCGTTTGACAGCACTAAATATATATTAGTTAACCATAATTAATTTGACATTTTCTGTATTTTAACCTTTTAACATTTGAATCTCCCTTAATTCCTTTTTAAAGTAAATAATGTAATAAATAAGTTTTAAAAATGTGTGCAATTATTGAAATTGCTCATTTTTGTGGATGACACTTACAACAAAATATGCATGTATCAATATAAAGACAGGAATATCATTACCATTTACTCATTTTATGTATTTTATTTATTTATAAATTAGCATACTGCAGATTCTCGAACATTTATTATCTATACGCTTGACATAATTTATTTTAAATTACTCAAAATCCTAAAGTTTGATTTCATTTCACTTTAAATCTTAGATGTTCAGTGTATTCTCAATCTTTGAAACTCACTTCTTTTCTAGATGCAATGGCAACAAGCAATGTGTCAAAATTGGTTTCAACTGTGCAAAATCCTGCTATATATATATATATATATATATATATATATATGGACGATTTTTAGTGGCACTATATATATATAATTATTTAATTATCACAGAATTTAGGCCAACTACACTGTAAAAGAAATGCTGTGAAATGCAACACGATCACAGCCAAGTTTCGATGTGTAATAAAGCAGGATCAGGAGGAGCAGGATCTTTGGACTGAATGAGATGTACACGGATTAGAGGTGTTGACTCTTGTCTGTGTGACTATTGGACAAAAGAACTGTCAATCATCCAATAGCAAAACCCTTCAGGTCAATTCCACTGCCCGAGCAAAACAAGGGTCTGTAAAGACCCTGTGACACAGGACAGAAGGGAAGAGAAGTGAGAAAGAAAGGGACAGCGAAAGAGAAGAGAGAAACCCAAAGTGAATGAAATAAGAAACCAAAAACACACCTGAGCTTGGAGTTGCATAAATGAATCAACAATATCAGGATGATCCCTGGGCCCTAAAATATAATAAAGATGAAACTTAAGAAATAATAAGAATAATAAGAATATATACAAACAGCAAAAGAACAGATCGAACAGTCATGTGGAACGGAAAAGTCAACTGGACGGAAATAATCGCACGCGTGAGAGAAGTAGGGCAGAGAAAGAGGAGGGAACATGAACGACTTGAAGGCAGTTGCGGAAAAACGAAAAGAGGAAAAACAAAGAAAGACAGATCAATGAGTCCGTTCTGAAAAGGAGAAACAAAGAAGGAAAAGAAATAGAAGTAACGAGAGAAAGAAAAGAAACCTAAAAAACAAAAGAAACAGTGGGTTTGGAGTGGGAACCCAGGAGGCACCTGTTACTGTGATGACACTTGTGTTGCTTGCTTTCTTTTTAGTGTGCGTTTTATTTGTTTTCATTGTCTGTAAATTCAATTCAGACACCCGACTGGCCCGCCGTAGCTGGTGAGCGCTTGGTTCCCACCGCCACCCCGGAAGAGCAAGGTCAGTCCCAAACTTCCCTCCCTTAGCTGTTCCCACACTCCAAACAAGACCCCACCCCCACAAACCAGACCCCACCCACCCGTCAAACCCTGCTCCTTCACAGAAAACAAACGACACACAAACACACAGGCCACGGCAGGTCCACTCGGCCATGACACCTGATCGGGATAAGAGTGTTATCGCTCACATTTCTGCTGATTCGGAAACGATGTGGTTAAAACAAAAGAACGTGATGAATGACAAACAAGAAGTGAGGGATGCAAGCATGCTAGTGGACACATGCAAAGACCAACTATGTGACTGTGTGTGTTTTTGAGTCATGCTGGACAGTTTTAGGCTGTTTTCACACTTCTTGTAATTGGTTGGCCCAAACCAGAAAATGAAAATTTGATTAAACAAGTCAATGTGTGACTTGACTTCCTTGTAATTATTTGTGGAATTTACCAACAATTTCTGAATAAAAATGGTTTCAAAGTCCTACTTCACATTTTTTCAGTGCAAGTCCTTTCATTAGATTTACATCAGTAATTGCATTACATTTAATTCCTTTGTATGTCTCTACATATAGCAGAATGGCAATAAAGCTCACTTGACTTGAATCTGCAAGCTGACAGTAACCAAGCAAAAGGCGGCATGTTTTTCATTCAAATCAACAAGAAAAGTGTGTGGAAGTGGTGCAATGAAAAGAACGAAGCCCTAAGAGAAGTTTAACAGGTGCACAAAAATCCCCAATTTATGAATGTGTATCCACAGCATTATTGGTAAGCAGCGTTGCATTCATAATCATATTAATACAAGCAGACCTTCTCAGTGACAAACTGGGATAAATCCAACCATGAATCTCGACTATATTGTTTGCGATTGTTGTTGATAGTGAATTAACACACTTACGCAACTTCTAGGCTATAATTCTAAGTCTTTTTTGTTGGTTTTATAGAAAAACATTAACATAATTTGGAATTAGTATTAGGAATTTCACTGCTTTGACTTTGCAACAACCTGAGTATGATCTAAAGTTCTCTTGATTTGTGTAATGTAAAAATAAATTTCTCAAACGGGAAAAATTGTGATTATAGTGATTATAATTTTGAGTTTAATAATCATGATTATCAGTTTAACCAATATTGTGTCAAATTTGCTTTGGTGCACATTATAACACACTGTTTAAAGTAATTACTGAAACTCAATAGTACATTTATTTAGTGTGTGGTCCGATTTATCATTGTTCAGCAAAATGTACCAAGTGAAATCCAGTCATTGTTTTGTTATGATTTATAGAAGAAAAATAACTTTTTGTATTAGTATTCATACTTTTGTAGAGCTAAAGACCAGATAATTTCAGATAAAGATATAAATATAAATATATTTGGAAAACAGCTATCACAAAATCTCACTTAAAAAAAAAAACATTTACATTTGGTATTAAGATCCATCTCAGGTGGTCCAATCACAAGTGGTGAGCACTCAATACAGATGTAAACAGGGTATGAACTGTGTTATGGTCAAATAATTGAATTCACATTCGGATGCATTTGTAGCATAAATGCTAATGCATCCTGATGTGCCCCTGACAAGAGTGAAGCACTGTCTACTCACCTGTCAATCAATCAATCAGATCACCTGAAATGACTGTTAAATTCCAGGTGTAAACAGGACTAAATGCATTCGGATCCAGATCAGAATCTCTAGTGTGAAAACGCCCTTCACCTAAGCGTGTGTGAAACTCATGGGGTGAAAATTTCAAGCAGAACAACAGGATCAAAAGTCACCACACCATTTCAGAAAACAAGAACCATTTCATAAGATCATGCCCATTTCTGAACTCTGTTTCTGTGTGTGCGGGTTTAAAAAACAGATACATGCAAACAACTGGAAACAGTGACAGTAAAGATATCAAAACCACAAGATTTCCTTCACCCTCTGCAGCTGGTTGTTCCCAGCATGCCTACCTTGCTGGAAGATGGTCAGAGTAACAGAAGTGACCAATTCAAACAGCGCTTTGATTGGGGGGAAATTATTCGTTTCACTGGCAAATATGTGGACCATCTGCAAGAGAACAAAATCAATCAAACGAAACTCATAAGAAGCAGCACAACACGTTCAAGGCTTCTGAGTTTTCAAAATCAAATTTAAGCATTTTAAGGCGTACATAATAAAACCATACAATCTCAAAATAAATCATGTAACTCAGATTCTAATTAAACAGGCTGAGGCACACATTCAACTAAAAAACATGGCTATTGCAAGTTTAAAATGCTCAAGATATGTTTTATAAAATATATTTACATATGTAATGAAATTTATTTATATATTTTTATATCCATACATACGAGTTAGAGGTTGCTGATATGATAATGTGTTTAAAGAAGGGCAATAAAATGATTATTGCGCAGATCAAAAAGATGAGGGAGATAAAAATGTGCAAATCTTACAAAAATCTACAACATACAACATATTACCAAAAAAACACCATAAAGTAAACATTGTCATAATTCATCTACAGTTGACCATAAGAAACCTACTGGCATAAATGTGTGCTACTCATTGATTGAACTGCTCTATAACTGCGAGCGTGCAGAATTACGTTTTGACTTTGAACATGTAGAGCTTGCATTTATGCATTTCAATTACAGCCTTTTGAAGTTTAATAATCACATTAGGTTGTATCACAATTTCTGTTTTTCCATCCCGAAATTGACAGATTCAACAATAAAATAATGAATTTTTGCAACACTGACACGGTTACCAAGCTGAATTGAAACAATGAATTAAATTAAGCTGAATAATCACACTAATATGTTCTATAGAGCTACTTGTTTTCTTTCTATTTAAACAAATTGACTCTCTAACACTCGCAATCTCTATTCTATTTCATCTAGCTGTTTTTTTATTTATTTATTTTAAAAAAAACTTGACCCTCTAACACTTGCACTCTCTATTCTATTTCTACTCTACTACTTTTCATTTAATTGGCTAGCATATTAACACTAGCATTCTCTATTCCATCTAATTGTTTTCTTTATATTTACTTTAAAAAAATGACCCTCTAACACTAGCATTCTCTATTCTTTTTCTATTCTATCTACTCATTTTCTTTTTATTTATTTTAAGAAAAAAAAACCTTGCTACTTGTACTGCGTTACTGCGACTAATCGAGACTTGTCACAGCACTTACATATCATTGCTCTTTTGTTGGTTTTGATTGCTTCTGTTGTTCTAATTTGTAAGTCCCTTTGGATTAAAGTGTCTGCTAAATGACTAAATGGAAATATTTCATAACTGACGCATTTCCAACATTAACACTGTTATTTTCCTGTTTTATTAACTTGAAGCTGCTTTGAAACAATCGGTGTTGTATAAATAAATGTGACTTGACTTGAAATGATAATTAAGACTTTTGTCATTAACTTTTATTTTTTAAGGACCCACATGGACATTACATCCTGTATGAACATTCATTTGTCATCCTGTGTTTCGTGTACCTGGCGTGTTAAATCCAGCGCTGACGCCTGCGGTATGGTACTGTACATCTGCCCCAGCATCTCACTCAGCTGAGACACCATGGGGGCAAAATCATGCAGGAGAGTTTTCACAGACTTCTCAAAGATGGCACACACCGCCTGAGAGAGAGCAGAATTAAATCTGCCATGCATTCATATTGAAAAGATACAATGAAACCTGAGCAAATGACTATGGCAAGATCTGGAGATGAGGCAGAATAAGAAGTCTGAGGTGAATCATACCTCCACAACCTGCGAGTCATTCAGCCATTTACTGAGGACCGTCTGTATCAGTGCAAAGACCTGCTGGAGCACCACCACCACCTAGAACACACAAACACACTCGAGTCCACCTCTGACATATTGAAAACGTCTGCTTCGCAGTGACCGCGGCCAGCTGGAAGGTGCTTACAGGGTTGGGGCCTGTCTGGGGCGGGGCTGATTTGATGGGCGGGGCATTCTCTCCTGACTCCTCCTCCTGTTTGGTGATGTCCAGCGTGGTGAAGAGATTGGATAGCAGACCGAGGATGTGAATAATGGCCAGTTTATTCGAGGGGTTTGGCTGAAAAGAGAAACCAGGGTCAGATTGGTATTTGACATGCCTTTTCATTTTAAAGGGGCCATATTTTACAATTTCAAAGCATACAATTTTTTTTTTTAAATCCACTTATAAATTCAGTTAAGATTTCATGCACCATAAACAGTCCTTACCGAGCTGTTCATGGCCATTTTCTCTGTCTATCACACATTAGATTAAACCGAGTGTTTTTGCTACTGTACCTTTAAAGACATGCTATTTAAATGACATCTACTATGAGTGGCTAAACTTTGCATACTAGCATAGCTCAATCTGTTGTTCGTCAGGGCAGACCAATAAAATAAAATCACAATATGGCTTAACGCAACGTTAAAGAAAATAAATGAATGCCCCTTTTAATAAAAAATATTATTATTGTAATTTATTCTGTAAAATAAAACTATTACTATTGTTCTTAAATATTTTATTTTACAGTGAAAAAATAATAAGGGGCTCTTTATTTTTGTCTACATATTTTTACCCATTTCTACCTGTTTTTGCAGAATAATTTAAATAAATTGTCTCATGGACAGGAGAAAGAGTTCTCCCTACATAAAAGGGTTATTATAGTAAACGGAAACTAAAACCAATAAACAAATAACCAACCAAACAAACAAATAAATGTTAACTGAAATAAAATAAATTTAAAATATTTTAATTATTTTAAGCTAGTTGCCAAAGAAACATTACTCGTTTTGATTTCTCATTTTCAACTTGCTGTACTAAAATGACAAACTAAACTGAAATAAAATTGCATAAAAACTAAACAGACATTAAAAAATAAATAATAAAAAGGACAAAAACAATAAAACTAACTAAAATTAAAACAAATGATTAAAATAAAAACTAATTCAAACTATTAATAAAAAGTACAATAGCATCTCAATGATACTAATGTACAACGTAATACTAACACTTCTACATAGTATACATTAAACATTTCAAACGAGCATGAAAAATCCCTCAATATGAGCCCATAATGGTACAGAGACAGAACGGTGGGATGGGCGTTCGCTCCTGGGAACATCAGCTGTAATTAAAAGAGTCGTTAAACAACCATTAGGCCAACAGTCTAATTACTGCTGTTAGCTCCATGACAACAGCTCAGTGATTGGCGGAGAGGCAGAGCGAGTCGCTACACTGTCCTCCTTCCTGTGTGACATCACACACAAGCACAAAAGAAAGAGACGCTCAATTAAACCTTTAACAAAGGCACTGGTGCACAGGCAGCCTTATTTTCCAAAGGTTAACCTGGAAGAAGATTATACTACATGCCTGCTTTAAAAAATAAGTACATTTAAATCACTTTTATAAAATAAAGTTCAGTAGTTTTAATGGTAAAAATAATTAATGAATTCAATTGATATATGACGTCAGAGATGCATGCATGTGTTGTCTATTAAAAACGGCTCATCCAATCAGATATCAGAGCCAGAACCATTTGTTTTATAAAGAACATGTGAAGAACTGTACACTACGTTCCTGTTTACTTTTAATATTTTTAGCAATTTTACTGACAGCGTCTTCTGAAAATAGCATCAGAGGAGATGCATGAGATCTGATTGTTCAGACACATCCTCACAGCATCTGTGGCCAGCAGGGGTCACTGTGTGAGCGGCCCATCACAGCCTGTTTACGGAGGCTGATGTAATGTCTTTCTGGGAAGGACCAGACGGGAAGGAAAGGTATAAGAAAACGAAAGTCAAAAACAGACATGCAGCACGTAGAAGGAGACCACATTTCCGAACTGGAAATAGGAGTGAACTCGGTTTAGATTTTACATGCATTTTGATAAGATGCAAAATAAACGCAATGCAAAAGTATTTAGAAGCTAGATTTTGACGTCTGGGAGTGACGTTTGCTTATGCATGCAAAAAGGTGGTTGCCAGGGTGTTTAGTTGCTCATTAAAGTGAAAAGAGTCTGCTGTAACATTCTGGTCTTTAGATACAATTTCAATACAAGTCCGTGGGATTTTTTGCCCGTTTTTATCTCAGTCAGATGAAAATTGTGAGTGTAAATGGTTAGAAAAGGTACAGCTGCACATTTTGATCCGTATATATGCAGCGGAATGCAATACTAATTAAATAATTTTATTTCTCCCATTATGTCTTAAGATGTACAACATTTTTTGATGCACTAAAATAAATTTTTTACTTAATCCAAAATTGCAGTTTTCAAATAAAAACTGGTATTGTATAAACTGAGTTGTACAAATGTTAAATTGCACATAAGGCAGTTTTATACTAACTTTTTAATGATATATTAATTTGTTGTTGAAATATAATGATTTAAATGGTGTCTGTATTAAAAACTTGTTTTCATGACAGATTTATTCAAACGTACTTTAAATAATGAAGACAACAGCTTAAGTAAAAATATAAAATGTAATATAGTGCATATATTTATCAAAAAGCTCCTCTCAAGAGTCATATTTTCTGGTTTTCCTGAGGTAAACGTCTGATGTTCATTAATGTTTATTTTGTGCTATAGCTAGGAATTAAACACGAAGAGATGATCGGTCCACTTGCAACTTGAACTGAGACAGATACAGAAATCTGGCACACCATATTTAAAAGCATCAAAACAGCGTTTTTTGTTTGAATTTTGTAGTAAAATGGACAGAATTTGAAAGCTTAGACGTTTCATATCAAAGGTAACAAAGCAGAAAACTTATTGCGATTGCTGAATGGGATGCACACTATAAATGTTTAGTAGAGTACTGTTCACACATCAACTGAATGCAGCACAGAGTAAAAGGTTCACTGATTCATTAAAATGAAGATAAAAAAATAGACAGATTAATACTGTAAATCCAGCACTCTGATCCACACAGCTAACGTTTTCCTATTGTAGTTCATCCACATTGTTTATACACAGACTAGGGATGCACCGATTCAGAACCGATCCGATACCAACAATTCTGAGTATCGGCCGATACCAGCACTGTTTTTTTTTCTAATCAATGTAGAATTTCTATACCTCAGTGTGGTGACCTGATCATCACTGTTTTGTGTGTTAAACACAATCTACTAAATATAGACAACTTCATTTTAAAGAAAAATAACAAATGAAAAATTATATAATCATTATCTATGACAAAAATACTATTATAAACTAGGTTATTGGATAATTCAGCAGCAAAAGTTATTCTAGACAAATCATGAGTGCTCAATAATTTTATAAAATGTAAACATTTAGTGAAATAACATTATTTAGTGGGGAACAAATATAAGTGAATAGTGTAGGACTAAATCTGGTGAAATGTTACACTCTTTACGCTCTTTGCATTGTTGTAAAACACATTCATGAAAAACAAGTAAATATATTTATATATAAATGTATACTAGGCTTGCCGCGATAGACGGTGCTGACGGTGATACCAGTGTTAAGCCGCAACACCGGTTACGTCACTTGCCCAACGACCCCCACCGTCGTTTAGATTTTTTATAGCAATAAAAATCATTTAGTTCCGTAAAAGAACAGACATTACAATTAAAAACTGAACGCGGCTGCTCAATGCAGCGTGCCGAACGACAGTAGCATCACAGATCAGATTTCATTT